CAATTGGACTACTCGAATATAGGGGTTTATTGTAAAATTATAAAAGAGTATTATCTCCACAAAAAAATTGTGACGTTTTACGGGGTTTAAATTAAACTCTATGGATAAGGATTATTTCTGTTCAAGGAAAAAATCACACAAAATAATTTTGCATTTAAAAAAGTTTTTAAGATGGAAGAAATGCACTACAAAGGGAGTTTGTAAGGCTAACAGGGAAGTTGATATCCATATGTCCAGCCATAAGTACGGTTATTTATATACCAAATTGTTTCGAGAGAGAAAAATTTAGCGTTAAAAAGAGTAATAGGAAATTATAACGGAACTTATGAAAATTTCAAAAGAAGTTAAGTGTTGATACCGATTGGTGGATTCGAAACATACCTTATTAGCAAAAACTTATTATTATCATATAGTAAATACTCTATGGAAATATTCTCTGACGCATCCAGATATTGGATGGGGTGTTTGTTGCAATAACATAAGTTCTCAAGGTCTCTGGCCTACCTACGAATGAGAAGAACACATAAATTTTAGGGAGTTACCAAGCTGTTTATTTTGGCTTGGAAGGCTTTGCTAATGACTTATCTAACGTTTCTAGCTTGTGCAAGGTAGACAGTGTTGTCTAGCCCTATATGCCAGTGCAGTAGTGTTACTGCACTGGCATATACCTATATTACATAGAACATAATGTGTTCAATTTCCAAGTTAAACAATATCCCTCGAATAATTTGGCAATGGTGTGAGGAAAGGGAGATTATTTATCGTAGCCTCTTATATTAGATCTCAAGAGAATAAGGAAGCTGACAGGGCTTCCAGGGAATTTAAGGTCGAGACAGAATTAGTTTTGCTTGAGCTGGGCATTTGGGAAATTGGTCACTATAAAAGTGGGGTTTACCGGAAATAGATTTGTTTGCTACGCATGGCAAATGCTAAATGCAAGAAATACATATCGTGGCACAGGGACCCAGATATGTACGCCATTGATGCCTTTACAACAAACTGGGAAACATTTTATTTTTGCTTTCCCTCCATTTTCAATGGTCCCAAAGGCTCTGCAAAAAAGAAAAAAAATTATTTCTGATCAGGCACAGAAGGTATAATGGTTGTACCCAACTGGGTTTCGCAAATCTTGGTATTCGGTTTTAAGGGCGATGTTAATAGATGAGCCGATTATTTTTTAAATTAATAAATATTTACTTCTTTTAGCGGATCTCCCACCCGTTAGCAACATCTTTCTCTGACGGAGAGGTCCGGCTATCAGGCAAGCCTTGCTCTTAGGGAATGTTCCCAGAGAAGAAGAAGCGCTGGAAATTTGCATGTCTTCAATAACAAGTAACACCTTAAAACAGTCTAACTCAGGGCTTAAATAATGGGTGGGAATTTTGTGGCGTTAAGAACTTAGATCCCTTCGGTTTCCTGGGTTCCAACGTTCTAATATTTTGACTCAACTCTTTAACGAAGGCGCATCTTTTAGCTCATTAGAAAGTTCTTATAGAGCAGCCATAGCACAGATAGCAGACCCCAGACCTCTTACAAGATTTTCGTATGCAAAGGTTTTTTAAGGGAATATATATGTTGAGACCTAATAAGCCCAAGTCCGAAAATACCTGGGATCCTACGTACGTAGTACTTAATTATTTAAAAATAAAAAATAATTATGAGTTAACCTTGCATAAATTGCTTACGCATAAATTAGTGACATTACTGGCCTTAGCATCGGGTCAACGTTTACAAACACTATCGCTTATTGATATAAGGGAAATTTTTCGGAAGTTAGGGGAAATACATATAAAAATTAGCGCAAGATTAAAAACATTCGGTAGAAATAAGCCGCAACCCTTTTTACGCTTACCTTATTTCAAGAAAGACGCTAATTTATGCGTAGCTAGCACGTTAGTAGAGAGTATCTAAAACGAACAGAGAGCATTAGAGGAAGTATAACTTCTGTGTTTTCGTAACAATCAAGAAACCGCATAAGAAAACATCCACTCAAACCTTTGGGGAGCTGGATTAAAATTGTCCTAAATAAAGAGTAGGATTGATACGGATCATTTTACCGCTCATAGTACTTTTACGGCATGCTGTAGCACCTTCAGCAGCTGCCAGGGAAGCGGGTTAAATTTTGATACCATCAGACTCGCTGCTGGTTGGTCTAAAAATTCTAAGAATGCTCATTACTGTTTACAATAGATCCTTGATGGATAATGAGAATAGTTTTGCTGAGAAATTAATCTTTATATATTTTCAATATAGAAATGGGAGAAAAGATTATGTTGTTGTTATTACTTTAAAATCTACATTGTACTTATTTATGGAACTGAGACCTATATAATCACCAAGATTAAACAAACTTACCTGAAGTGAAGTTCAATCTTGATTATATATGAAGGTCTCGTCGAATAAATAAGTTCCCTCCCACCCTCAACCTCAATTTACAACAACATAATAAGTATCTTTAAAATTGACTAAATAAGAAATGATGCAAGGGCATGTAATGAGGTAAGGGGAGCAGGGAAGCGAGGGGGCATGTTGAAATTTGTTTGTTTAGGCTTTAAAATGTGTGGTAGCCGCACGGAGAAAAGGGAACTACATTGTACTTATTTATTTCGACGAGACCTTCATATAATCAAGATTGAACTTCACTTCAGGTAAGTTCGTTTAATCTTGTGAATATATGTCATTAGGGCATTTTTTTTAAATGTATAAGGCGGGTTTTGCAACTTGACGCCTCAATTGAAAGAAAAAAATGTTCATAATATGTTAATATTGGTTACTACGGGATTTTTCCTAGTTTTTCTTTCTTGTGAATTTAATCTACTGAGTAAATTCACAAGTACGAAAACCACTGAAAAATCCCATGGTTCTCAAAATTCAAGCAAAATATATTTTTTATTTTTTATTTTCAAAGTAAAATAACTCGATTATGTTGGACTTCAGACACTCAGATGCAAAAAAACACAACGGAGAAATTTCTGGTCAAAATTAGGGTGTTATATTTTTGTTACTTTTAGCCCTATTTTCATGAATTTTTTAGCAAGCTGTATATAATTATATCAACTTTAATTCGTAAACTCAGTTTTTTATAAACTTTGGTATTTGGCATATTATACAGAGTTAATCGAGGGGATGTTTTTTACCTAAACTCTCAAACACCCTGTGCAATAATTTCGTTTGTAAATTTCCCTAAAATATAATGTTACGATCAGAACAATGTCTCCTATGCATTTTCTTTTTTGGATCATGTCAATACATGCCTTGGTTAATTTTTAAGAGCGAAACTTGCCACCAACCATTTTCAATTTTTCAATTATCATTTCTTTTTGGAGTTATTTTTCAATATTATAAGGTGGATTTGGTGATTATTGTGAACTATATACTCCTTCGAACTACCCATCATGTCCGACGTTTGGGAAATGCTTGGCAGGAGGTTTAGAGGCAAATACGTTTAAATAAAATATACGACGGCCTCCCCATAAGAGCAATGAGAGGATTTACGTCTCAGTATTGAAGGAGGACAGAAAATCGAGTCGAATGTTCAAGACATAGGTTCATCCTTGTTTAGTCAAACCTCCTACAAACCAAAGATAGACTTATGTAGGAAATGCATTGAAATTCTATAGCTATCCTTCAATATCGGGACAGGAATTTAAGCGGTACCCTCCGTATACTTTATTTTAAACGTATTTGTTTAGAGGTCACAAAGCAGTACCAGCTTCATTATATGAACTTCGCTTGGTTGTTAAAGAAGAATGGAAAAGCATAACGCAATATGATATATGCAGCCTCCATGACAATATGAACGGACGTATGCAGGCAGTTATAGCGGCCAAGAGAGGCAATACAAAGTATTAGGGTATTTTTTACAATTTTTTTTCTGTTTACATACTCGAGTATTAGAGATGTTTTTTTAAATGTTTATTTAAACCAGGTCTGTATTGTTACTCTTTAACGTTTTTTTTATTTAGTAATAGAGTATCCAATGCAGCGTAATATGACGTTACGACAATAGTCACCAACATCATCTCGTCATATTAAAAAATTACGTATAAAAATATGTAATGATAACTGGAAAAAATTGCAAACTGATCGTGATCAGTTCATTTCGCTCTTAAAAATTAACCAACGCATGTATTAACATGAATCAGAAAAGAATATGCTCACAACTTGTGGTTCTGACCGTAAAATTATATTTTAGGGAAATTTACACATGAAATTATTGCACAGGGTGTTTTAATATTAGGGTAAAAAGCAACCCCCTCGATTAACCCTGTATAATATGCCAAATAATAAAGTTTATAAAAAACTTTTTATACGAACTTATTTACGAATTAAAGTTGTATACTTATATACAGTTTGCTAAAAATCATGAAAATAGGGCTAAAAATAAAAAAAATATTACATTTTAAATTTGACTAAAAATTTCTCCGTTACGTTTTTTGCATCTTAGTGTAGAACATCTCATAGAAAAAAGGACCATGGATTTTTTCTCCGATTTTTCTTTATTTTTATTCCATCAAATAAAAACAATTTGAAACAAATTTTCCAATCAATGTTAAATATTTCAGTTTTTCACTTCAAAAAATCAAACTAGAATCATAATTCATATATGTATGATTGGCCAATTATTGTAAACAAGCCGTTGCAAAATAAATAACCAATTGCAAAAGATAACTTCAGTTAGTGATTACACTGATGTAGAATTTAATAAAATAAGGTATCTATATTAAGAATTAAAATATTTAGTTGGTTTTGAATTTAAAATTATTAAGAATTAAAATGTTTATTTAAATGATTCAGAACATTTCAAAATAAATATTCTGAATTACTAAGTTGTCCAAGTACGTAATGAGTAAGTAACGGCATTGATCAATATTGAACACACTTTTATAAAATCAACCTTTACAAATAACTTTCGAAAACACTAAACACTCTACAAAATAAAACAAAACAAAATAAACGCTACTAACTACAGTAAGTATATTAACGAGTATAATACTTACAATGAGGCAGTAAGCTGCCAGTAAGTCACATCCTCGTTGACCCAGGGATTAGATGGATGAGGAGGTACCAGTAAAGGGTCAAACTCCGTGTAAGTTTCGACGTGTTGAACGAGGTTTTCTAAGGCTTGAGATACTTTTATTCGTGTCCTGTATAAACTGGTCCTCAGTAGTTCCACCTGCAATAGTTGTTTCATTATATCAATATTATTCGCATACAGGGTGACAGCGAAATTCTACAATTTGATGGTACGTCAGTACTTTGAGAAAGAACTTATATCATTCAAGAACATTTTAATCTAAAGCTATAGAAATACGTAAAAAATACAGGATGAGCATCTAAATATGCACAGTATTATCTACCCCAATATACCATCTAGCTAAGATATACCATCCACCACATTTTACAATGCTTTTGTTTTCATTTTTGTTAACAATATATACAAAACAACCCAATAGTGGAAGCTTCAATGAACACAAAAACAATCCTCTATGGTGAATTTTATACGACTAGTCTTTAAACATGCGTCAAACACTACTTCCAATGTTCGACGCATCGGCTTGGTTTGGTAAAACGTTACAAACATTTGAGACAAATATTGCAATAACTATATAAAATAAAATTAAATAACAAACCAATAACATTAAGAGGGCAGTTGATAAATAATCACGGAGCAGGTTTCTAGTTCAAGGAAACATCCTTTCTGACAGAATCAGATATAAAGACATCAGAAACTAATGTAGCATTTATGGTTTAGGTGGACAACACAGAGAAAATGATTCTGAAATAAACATGTGGACTGAATGGATGAAAACTAACTTGTAAAACTTGTGAAAGGTAATAACTTTATTAAAACTTTTTTTTAACTTAAACTTTATTAACTTGTAAAACTTTATTATCAGGAATAAGCCCACGTGAATAATCATTAAAGTGATATGGACTTCTTTGGACAGACATTGTTAACCCAAGTAGCATTTTTAGAAACTAAATCTCTGCTGAGAAACATTGCGAAACAGTTTCAAAAAAATTATTGTGTTGTGATTAATTTGACACATTTTTGATACATATGTTTATATATATTTTGATATATGTTTCATAACATAAATTGTTTTTTTTTCGAAACATTTTACCAAAATATGGTTTCGCTACATAAGCTAAAACAATAAAGATCACAAGATAGTGTCACAAATTTTTCGAAACTTTTAAGAAACAGACACACGTGACTCACATTTATAAAGGTTTCGTACCAGTTTTTTGCCTGAAAAGTTTCCATAATTTATTTGATATTCTGTCAAATATGAAAACATAATCTTACTTTATTGTTTGAATTTTATTCTGCAGCTTTTACAAAATGGGAAAGACAATATAAACATTCTTCAAGTTTTTAGAGTATAATTAAAAAAGCAAAGGAAGTACATATGGTGAGTATACATTTTATAATTGAGATTTGTCTTAGGAATAAATGTAATAACAGCCACTACAGACTAACAGACACGATTATTAAAAACATTACGTAAAATGTGTCCTAAAATGCTACTTGGGAAAGCTATAGCAGTATGATAGAAGAAGTTTGATAAAAAAATAAAAAATTCGACAATTTTCAAATAGACTTCTTCCGAATATGTTTTATTTTTAACTGAGGTTGAGTTTAAGCAGATATAATAAATTTAATAAGTATCATAATATTTGAAAGATAATAATGTAATCAATACACTATAGAACAAATTATTTAACCAGATTTTCTTGGCGAACAAAATAAATTATAACAAGTTGATTTCTGAAAATCAGACTAACCTCTCTTTTACAGTCCTCTATCGTTTTCTTCCTCGGCTTTATACCTTTCCAACTTCGCGTTGGTACCGGAACTTGCTCCAATGAACTAAATATACCCGGCGGAGGACGGTGTACTCTCCAGTAGGCCTTTTCTTGCGAGTCGCTGATTAACTTGTCGGGTTTCTTCATAGCTTTACTCAGTTTAACCTAAAAAGAAAAATAATATTGTAACATTGTAAATTATCATAATACAGCCGCGTTCGCCCACTACTGGATATACATTTGCCACAAATTCTTCTACTTATATTTCAGTTGAGGGATGGAACCTTTAGTGTTACAACAGCAAAATAAAACAATTACTTTTAAACAAGTCTCAAATTACAGGCAATTAGATGGCAAGTCTACGAGCATAGTCTATAGCATAGACTCACAGGCAATTAGATGCATATGACAGAGTCAAAATTAACAAATGTAAAGATCATAATAATGTTAACAGAAGATAATGGTCCAATTCCTTCCAATTCTCTGTTCCTATTGCTCTAGTTTCGGTTATTAATTGTTCGCTCGCTCGGTTGGTTTTGAACCGCTGGGCTAGTTTTGCCACCCCTGGTCGGTGCCAACTGAACGCCTATATAAACGCTTAATTTGTAGACATTAGCTTAGTTTTAATCATATGCTAACATGGTTAGCAAAACGCGCATCCTGTGCAAAAGTAAAGTGTTTTGGTGTGGTGAATTTCTACTTATATACATTTTGCGCATTTTGGATTCAGTTTTTTGATACTCACTTCTTCGGTCCATCTTGATTTAGTGCCTTGGGGACTTGATTCTACAAGAAATTGTGGTTATTTATTATTGGACATCCTTGCTACGTGAACTGCACTGCTCAGTCACATGCATACTATTCTATAGGCTACATCTATTTTAGTTCGTTGTCTACATCATCTCGAAAAGTAATACCCAATTATACAATTGCTCTCTAAGTCACTTGTATTTTACTGATTTTTTTTTTCGCAATGTATGTGTACTTTTCTTTGGAGGCATATCAGTATGCTATTTTTGTGTATTTTATTTCTGAGTTTTTTGCCTCTACACTATGCGGAAAACTCTTCGAAACAGATCAAGGTCGCGTTTAATTGTCCAACTTTGTCCCATTTCGGTTTATTTCCAGTTGTCTTGACCCACTTCGGTTTGCCTCGACCTACTTTCGAATCTTAAATGAGTCTGAAAACTACTCGTGAGGAAGGCGCGGGGGGATTTTTTTGGCGTTTTTTGTCGCCTCGTTCAATTTTGTTTCGTTTTGAGCTATTTCAAAAACGTGGCGGTATCTGTACCCAAGGCAAAGGACTTTTTTTCATAAATCTCAGAGAAATAAGTCAACCTAGACGTTTCTAAAATATCAGTTGTTATGATGATATTTTGTTAATTACATCTCGTTTTATGTTGATATATATATAGTTGTATTTTTTAAACGGAACACCCTGTATATTATTACATTTTTAGTTTCTACGATTAACCATAGACTTAAAATAAAATATAGACTGAGCATCTCATTCATAAATAGCTGGAACATGCGGTCAGACAATGTCTTTTTATTGTTGTGTTATTGTTTTAGGTTATAACGAGTGCGACACGAGCGATAGATAGGTTGTCTCTGTCGTAACGGTCGTTTCCTGACGACTCTGCCGAGAAACACAACACTGTCTTTCGTTTTTCAAGTACACCTGAACTCTCCGTATCATAGCCGGGTAATTTTTTTATTTTAATGAAGCTATAATTAAATTAAAAATATATCGTATTTAACCTTTTTATATTTTATTAAGATTTAGGACAGGTTTTTTAAATAAAAGTTTAGAAAAAACGTCTAAGAGTCCAAAAAGGATAAAAATAATAAAATACACGTTATAGAAGAAATTTTATAATAGAAATTACGTAATTTTTGAAATTAATAATAAATTATTAATTTTAGTCAAACATTTACAACCCCTAATATTAATCAAAACAGGATCTATTCCACAGATATAATAGAATCGGCGACAGGGAGAGAAAAAAAATGATTGCTGTAATTTTTTTTCTGGTTAAGTAATGTCTTATTGTGTAAATTAGAGAAAACATAAATCTGTTCCATTAAAGCAAGGAAGGTGATAGGAAACCTCGCCTCTAATCGGTGTTGCCATATTGTAAAGAACTTATCCTTTTCAAATAGTGTCCGACTTATAATTTAGTAGTATAACGACTATTTAATACATCTATGGAATATTAAAACCTACTTTATAAAAATGTAGTATTAATATCTCAATATATGTGTATAATAAGAAAAAAAATATTTATAATATTAAAGACGTGACAACATAAGCTGGATGAGGAAGGCTCGGTCGACTGCACCCAGAAGTAAACATGTGTACAAAAAAGATTGTTTGACTGCGTTGAGATGTAAATAGTGTAGTCTATATTTTATTTTAAGTCTATGCGATTAACATAAAGGTAAATTTGATTAAGGTTTATCACACTTAAACCTTACCTACCGTTTTTAAAATATTTTCAATTTTGTGAAATTGCAGTAAAATCTTTTTTGAACTTTTTAACTAATACTAAAGTCTAAAGCTATTTTTCGCATTAAAAATATATTTAGTGCATCATGAATGTACCAAGTATGCCAGTAATTCATAATAGTAGTTTGGTTAGGTTAGACGTTATCCGATGCCTAACTTCCACGCCTTCCGATCGTTCCATTGTCCCTCGTTTAGATTTCTGGCACTCATTGCTCTTGTGACACCCTCCTTCCAAGTCTTCTTAGGTCTTCCACGTTTTCTTCGATGTTGGGGTATCCATTGCATAATTTGTTTTGGAAGTCGGGTGTCATCCATCCTCTGGACATGTCCGTACCAGACAAGTTGTTGGCGTTCGATGTCGGTTGCCAAAGATTTCTCTGTTCCTATTCTCTGTCGGATTTCTTCGTTTCGGACTCCATCTCTTCGGGAAATTCCTAATGTTCTTCTATAGGCATCCATTTCTACCGCTTCCAGTTTTCTTCGGTTGGCTTCCGTTATTCGCCAAGTCTCTGCGCCATATAGTAGTCTGCTCTTTACCAGGGTCTCGTATATATTGATCTTCCGTTTTTTCCCTATTTCATTACTCTAAAATACTCCATTCAGACAGCCTATTGTTCTTCTAGCTTGTGATATTCGTTTTTTAATTTCTTTGTCATCTTTAGCTGTTGTATCAAATATCAGTCCTAGGTAGGTGTAGTCATTGCAGGCTTCTCTTCGTTTTCTAGATGTATGCTAGATAATTCTGCATCAATACGTAGATATTTAGTTTTCCGTGTGTTTATTTCCAAACCCTTGATATTCCCCTTGTAGTTTTTTTGTCATGTACTCTAAATCATCTTTATCGTTAGCCATAATAACTTGATAATCTGCGAACTGCAGGGTATATAAACAGGTATCTCCCAGATTAATGCCCATTCCATTACATTTTCTCTTCCATTGTCTCAAGGCCTTTGCTACAAAGTAGATTTTAAACAATGAAGGAGAAACACAGCATCCTTGTCGTAGACCTTTATTGACAAATAATTTTTCAGATAATGTGTTGCCTATTTTGATTTTTGATGTTGAATCTTCGTACAAGTTTTTCATAGCTCTATTTAAGGTGTAGTTAATGTTGGTGTCCTGTAGTACCTTGAATAGTCTGTTAACTGGAACGGTATCATATGCTTTGTGAAGGTCAATAAACATGAGGTGTGTCTCCTGATCATTGCTACTTTTTTTCTCTATTAGTTGTTTCAGACAGAAAATATTAAGGTACAGGTTCTCCCAGTCCGAAAACCAGATTGTTCCTCCTCTTCTTGTTGTTGGTATTCCTGTTCTATTAAATCTTTAACGATTCGTCCGTATAATCGACTTAGGGTACTTGTTACTGATACCTCTATAGTTGGAGCACACTTGTTTATTTCCCTTTTTGTGGATTGAGGATATATAGGCGATTTTCCACTCTTTTGGTATTGGGGCGCCGTTTAAGAATCTATTTATACACCATCAGGTTAAGGCTTTACATAGTTTTTCTGTTCTACATTTCAACAATTCACCTGGAATATTCTTCGGTCCCGGAACTCTGTTATTTTTCAGTGCTGCCACTGCCTTTTTCATTTGCAGTATGTCCATGTTAATAACTTCTCCGGAAATATTTATTTCTGTGGGTGATATTGTGGCGTATTCCTGCCTAGTTTCTGTTAGGAGTTCTTCATAATATTCCTTCCATTTGTTCATTGGTATTAATTGTAGCTTGGCCGTTTGTTTTTCTGATGTTTTGACTTTGTTTACGAACTTCCATGATTCGGCACACTTCCTTCCTCCCAAATAGGTATTTATATCTTGACACTGCTTATCCCATATTTCTTGTTTTGCAGTTCTTATTTTTGTCTTGTTGTTCTTTTAACTTCTAGATATGTGTCTCTATATTATTGTTGTTTACTACTCAACCATTTTTTGTATGCGTTTTTCTTATCCTTAATTAAGCAATCTATTTCTTCATTCCACCATATGTTGATACTTTGAAATTGGGTTCTTAATACAAGAGCTTCTTCCGCTGCACTGTGAACACTGCTTATAATATTTGTGTATACTTCTTTAACGCTGTTATTCTGAGTTATATTTATCAGTTTCCAATATACACTATTAAATATTCTAAAGCTTGGTTCGATAAAGAAATATACACGCAAAAAATGTCACAACAAATGAATATAAAACAGCACGACAAATGAAAATGAAACCATTAAGTGACTTTATTTTATTTTACGGACATTATAATGCAAGCACGGCACGTTATTAATATTAATGCTAACCTGTTCTTCCGCTTGGGCAGTGATGATATCCCATTTGTTCGAAAGGTTCTTTCTCAAAATGGCCAGCGCTTCCACCTCGTACTCTTCCAGTCCGTGCCTTTGTTTGTTGCGCAACGTTCTCTTTGTTAAATAAATTGCATAATCTACGTTGTCGGGGGGTTTATTCTGCCAAGGCCAATAAAAAGGAGACTGCAAAAGAGAAATATCAATTAAGTTCTGTACGTATTTATATGAAAATAAAGCGGTTTTATTATTATTTTTTTAATTTCGAAATTCTTTTTGCGATATACTTTAAATTAATCATAAAAATTTATGAATAATAAATATCCCATCAAAAACATAGAATGTAAATAGATGCCTTGCAACGCAATTCTTCCACTACAAGTTGTGAGATCTCATGTAAAACCAAAGGTCATAAATGATTGCTTATTAATTTACTAATATTATTTCGAATGATTATACTCGAGCAATAAAAGAAGGATGACCTATAAAAAAATACATCCCATTAAACACATAACTTCTAAAAAATGTCAAGCCTCGCAACGCAGTTTTTTCACTACAAGTTACCACACTAAGTTTCCACTACTAAGTTGTGATTTATTATTTATAGTATTATAGTATACAGTAGTGATGTGTCGGTATTTGATAACGAATCAGGAACCTGTTACTGAAGAACGACGATCATAATGACGACAAAATTATAAATTATTTATAATTTGCAAATAAATTATTTATAATCGCTCTTGAAGGTAGCTTGAACCGTAGTAATCGCATAGCGACATGTTTAGCTCCAGCCGTCTGGCATTTGTATGTACGTAGCGTTGCTCGTGTTCGCTCCAGCCGTCGCGCCGTGTTCCTAGAGCCGTAGTTCCGCCTGTCGCAACAGAAGTAACTGGTAACTGCTGTAACTGATTATCGACGCTCGACCTCGGCGGCGACGTAACTTCGCTCCAGCCGTCGCGTTCCTAGAGCCGTAGTTCCGCTTGTCGCGAACATAAGTAACTGGTCCCTGCTGCAACTGGCTATCGACGCTCGACCTCGGTGGCGACGTACTTCGTTCCAGCAGTTGCTGGAGCGTTTCTATGGTTCCGGTTTTGCCTGTCGCGATTTGGTCGGTTACTATTGGCGTTGGTGCTGCCGTCGCGCGTTGCTACGGTACTTTCGAAATAGCGATTTTTGGTATGTACTGGGCATGGTATAAAATAGCGTTGTTTGAAAGATGAAACGCAAAAGCAAATAAAATAAAAATATTTTATTTGCTTTTATACATTTATATAAGTTTTATTGTTTATATCTATTTTTAAGGTTAGGTTAGGCCAATAAACCTTTTTTTACAGTTGTTTAGACTTTGTTCTTGATTTTAACATTAAATATATTATATTGCAATACACATAAATATGACCCGTTGATTTTATTTCCATCAATTTAAACGAAAATTGATGGAAAATAACAAGGAATGTTATCGTTTCTCTAAATGAGATAGATTGGCTATACACAATTATAAACTCGATATTTGGAAAATGAGTGGCGGATAAAAGTTACATTAATCTACAAATATAGATAAGTTGATATATTTTTAGCGAGGACCGCGGAAATCGGAACTTCGGTTACTAAATCGCGGTATTTTGACGCGGTATTTTTCTAGAACGGTCGCTATTGTAACGCGACTCATATGGAACCAGTATTCCCATCACTAGTATACAGGGTCCGGCAATAGTGCGTCGTGCATCTGTAGCTCCCAAAATAAAAAACTTGAGAATTTTGTTTAAGTGCAAACCTAAAGTATGTAACAGGATATATTTCAGTAAAATATTTTAATTTCTATTATGTATACTCTATATACTCTTTTAAAAAAAATCGAAATTTTTATTTATTAACTTTTTCCACTTTTCTCACCTGGTACGGTTAGAAAACGTTAATTTAAGAATTCTAAATGCAATTTAACCTCCTTTTTAGGTTATTTTGTATTTTAAAAAAAAATTACCAATTACCGAAAATGGAAAAATCTGTTTTTATTTTTTTTCTCACCTTGTATCTACTTTTTTGACAAATTGTGTATACTAAAAAAAATTAACTACTTATTTGTTATCATCGATCCACGCCCAAAAATAGGAATAAGTGAAAAAAGATCGATTTTGGCCGGGAAAATTTTTGGAAATTTTCGAGACACTGTTTAAATGGAGCGATTATAGGGATCCACTAGTTCTATCCGGAAAGGCTTCACTGGTCGTTTAGCTACTTATCGTTATCGAGATATTTGCGTTTTTCGGTTTTGCCAAAAGTTCAAATTTAAATCGTTTTCTACGAGTCCTTATGAAAATCTAAGAAACGAAAAATAGGCCATGGGAGGGCGCCATCAGTCGTCTATCTGACGGAGCATAAATGGTTTCTTAGAATTGAAGGGTTTGGTAGATACCCTAAAAAAAGTTGAAAAAAGTAAAATTTCCAAAAAATTTCCTCTGTCATGCCGTTTTTCCATGACAAGAGTGTAAAATCTATTGACACACTCTGCCCATTCACGCCAGTTCGAGGCCGTATGAGATCGGATATCTCATATGTAAGAGTCAATTTAGACACTCGCCAAGTTGGTAGGCTTTGACAAAGATATGGCAGAGGATAGCAGTTCGGATTCCGCATAAACAGAGTAGGCACCATCCAGATTGGCCTTAGCAGCAAAAACGAGACGTTAACTTAAAAATACCATTCGGTCAAAAAAACGGCGTCAAAGACGGCTGGGGATTGAAAGTCAATGATAATTTTAGTGTGGTCAGGCCCTAGACGTCATTTTTTGACCCGTACGCTTCTTTATTTTTTAATAGCGCTTACTGCCACTTAGCCTTAAGAAGTTTGTAATTTATATTGAGTAGAAATGAGTTTAAAATGGTGTGGTTTAAAATTTGATAAAAAAAATTGGAAATAGGTTTGTGCGTCTGGAAATATCCTTTTTAATATTTCTATAAATCGTGTTAATTTTTGCAAGTTTTATGTCAATTTTTATTAAATGAAATCTACATATTGATCTCGTCAAAATTATCATCTATTGTCATTCCCTAGACGTTTTTGCGCCATTTTTACTACTTATAATTACAGCTCATTTTTATCTGTAATATCATACGAAATAACTAAAGCTATCCAAGAACTTTATGTCAGAATGAATATAAAGACCAAAAATAGACATAATCCATCCTTCAGAGGATTATCTTGGATGTCTTGCATTACTTCTTTTTATAACGGCTTTTAGCCGTAATTTATAGAGCGAAGGAATATCATTAATTATTTGCTAGACAGACTCAAGTTTTTATTCGTTTTCCAACAATATATCTAGTTTAAGACCGTTACGGTAAGGGATTAATTTTTCTCTGGCATACTTAAATAAAAATCTCTGTATTAGTCTATGTAATACAAAAAAGTTATATAAATGTTTCGTTGTTCAATATCTATAATAGGTAATTTAGTTAAAATAATAGCCAGGTAGTATAGCTTTTGTAACTACAATGAAAAACTTGTATAAACTGCAATCGAACACAGAAAAAGCTATAAGAAATCTATTAAATCTATCAATCTATCAGCTAAAAATCATCAATTATTAGCATTTTTTGGAATAAAGTAGTTTTAAATACACACACCAGAAAAATCTAGGGATATCATTTTATTAAAGTTAAAAATAAATGTTTTGAATAAACAACCACATATTTGTAGGCCGATTCTTTCTACTTCGATTGAAACGAAGTAGTCACACTAGTTATTTCTAAATTTGGGATATTTGCAGAAGTATTTCTGCATTTTTTGTCAAATGTATAAAAAGCACCAAGCATCAATTGTTCGAATTTAACCTGTACTGGCTATGTTTTTATGATAACTGGCCAGAATTCATTTAAATAACTCTGTTTAGTATTAAACGACATTATGGAGCGTAGACATCTTAACAGAGACGAAATGCTAAGGGCCATGGGTATGCTCGAAGCTGGAATGCGCCAAATCGACGTAGCTAGAGTATTAAATACAACGCAAAGTGTAATATTGCGATTAAGTGCACTCTACCGTGAAAGTGGTGATGTTGCTGAAAGGTACATAGGGCGACATCGCATTACTACCCCTCAGCAAGATAATTTTTTACAATTAAATGCTCGACGCCCACCGACTCTTACAGCACCAGAGCTTAGTTTAATTCTCCAGAAAACACATAATGTAACCGTTAGTCCTGACACTGTTCGCAATAGATTAAGATAGGTCAACTTAAGAAGCAGACGCCCCTGGAGAGCTCAACCCTTAACGAGAGGAAATCGAGAGGTACGATATTTGTGGGCTCAAGATCATGTTCAGTGGTCGAATGAACAATGGGCCAATGTTCTCTTCACGGATGAGTCACGCTTTGGAATTCATCCGGATTCGAGAAGGCTTAGGGTATGGAAAGAACCGGGAAATCTTATTCGGTTGGATCATGTTCAGGAAGTGCACCTTTATCAAGGTGGAACAGTTATGGTCTGGGGAGGAGTCCAGTTAGGCCGAAAAACCGATCTCGTTTTTCTTGAAAGGTTTCTAACAGGAATCACATATCGTGATTTAATTCTTGAGCCTGTCGTGTTACCATATGCCAGTGATTTTGGGAGAAACTTCATTCTCATGCATGACAATACACGGCCTCATACAGCCAGAGTGGTAAGTGAGTTTATCAATGCTCATCAATTAAACATCTTACCCTGGCCGGCACAATCTCCTGACCTCAACCCCATCGAGCACGTGTGGGACGCGGTCCAAAGAAGAATTTTGAGAATGGGTATGATTCGTGAAACTCGTAGGGATCTGGTTCGGGCCGTGAATGCAGCGTGGCAGGCTGTACCTCAAGAAGAGATCGACAACCTGATCAGGAGCATGGAGAGACGATGTAGGGCTGTAATGAACAGTAGAGGAGGCTATACCCTTTATTAAGTAAAAATGGTTTTATCTTTTTTTTTAATTCACAGTTTAAAATTTAAAAAAAATGTGTGTATTTTTTTGAGTTCAATAAAAATCAAGGTAAATTTGAAAAATTCGGTGAATTTCGCATTTTTATTTCCAATACGTCCTGTAAATTATTTGTTTATTTTAATTTTATTATATCAGAAATGCAAATAATAAAATTACTGACGATGGCTGGATAAAATTGTAATATCCCTAGACTTTTCCGGTGTGGTATTTAATATATTTAT